GAATCTGAAAATGTAATTAGGTCATTTTCACAGAATGTGACTTCATCCTCATTTTGATATGATGGCTCACATTTGTTCTTTTTTTTCCACAACTGCTTGTGAAAAGTGAATAAAATCGTTTTTGACACAAGAACACAAGAGGAACAAAACAAGAAGAAGAAAAGGTTAATTTTGAAAACAGCTGAGTCATTCTTGCAGTCATCACCACACAAACAGGCCATTCTGGTCAGATTCTAGCTGTTTAACACTCCTGGGTCTTGTTTGATGCAGTTTTTTATTCCAGGATGATTTCAGTTGGTAAGACGTGTGGACTGCAGGCAGCTCGTTCAGCACCTGGACTCTCCTACTACAAAGCCCTGCTGCTGTAATACATCCAGTATGGATTTTACTGTTGTTTTGATACAATATACAAGGAAAAAATGTTTAGATGGGAGCGTATGTCATAAACCTGGATAAAACTTTTGCATTAATGGTACATTTCCTGTTGTACTAGCTTGCTCATGCCACAGGCACTAATGACACCTGCACCAGAGAGGCAGGGTTTGAACTGTGTGCTGGTCCTGTTAGTATGGGACATGTCACACTGTGGTTCCCAAAAACAATTCAACATTTTCATTAATCTGAACACACAAAGTTTTCCACTTTAAATGAGACCTGGCCTAAAGAAACAACAGCTGTWTTTTATATGTCTTCTTCTTGTGATGGAGCATCAACCAGTATTTGTGGATGGCACACAACAATATGACTTTAAAACTGCCTGACCTTTTTTAGGCTATTCTTTTGACTTTTATTTTTCACAAACTAGTAAACCTTTGTCCATCTTTACTTCTGAGAGACTTGATTTCTCTAAAATGCTACTTTTATTTCCAGTCCTCTTATTGCTGGTACATGACCTGGATGATGTGTGAATGTCAGATAAGGAGCAGGAAGTGAGCTGCTCTGGTTCAAACACAGAGTACGCTAATGCCCTAAATGGGCTGGTGCAGACAAGATATCACAAAAATATGTGTACATTTAGGATCTGATTCATGTTATCTTAATAAAAAAGACTTGTTATATAATCTGGAGGATTTACCTGGTGTTGACACGATCAACATAAACTACTATCTGGTGCTGCAGACCTCATGTTACAGGCTACCACGAGCCAGATAAAAGCCTTAAAGCTACAATTATTTAGTTTCAGGTTGGGTCGAACACTTAGGATCAAAGAAACTTTAAATATCTGTTGACTTGTTTCTGCCTGGATCAGTTGTTATTTTAAATAGTTAGACTGTGATAACAATGCTATCGCTAACGCTAACAACAAGTTAACTCCTGTTATTTCTATGGATCTACTTGCAAATAATTTATTTTGCTTCTGTAAACCCAAATTCAAGTATCTATCCAGGAAAGTATCTGACAATATGATTTAAACGATACGGTCCTTACTGTGGTCGCTGCAAACTGTTGCATTGTTTGTTTCCTGTTTTACTCGTAGATTTTTGATCCACTTTTGTCCTAATTTTTCTGAAAGTTTTTTAAATTTAACTCCCTTGTGACACACYGCTTTCAGAACATGAAAAAACTTTGATATTTCTCCTGATTAGAGTGGCTGCAACCATCGTAAACAGCACATTATTTAGGCATTTAGACACTGAATCAACAGAAGGAAACATTCATTTACTTCCTGCCGTCTGCATTTCATGACATCGATATTACATCATCTGCAACCAGCAAGTGACCTGTAGCCATTTGAGATCTTACAACATGTCACRTGCAGATTAAGCCTGAAAAATACACAACATTCAAGATGCTATACCTGCCGAGAAGGTACCAGGACTGGCCAGARTTTGGGTCTGCCTCTAAAGACTTCTGTAGACACTGGATGGCATAGCTGTCCTTGGCATCTTTATCACCGAGCTGCTCCACTGTGTGATGCATCCAGCCTGAAACGCACCAGAAACACCAGAGGTGAGTCTTTAACATTAATAAATCAGGTTGTTTGACTTGTATCCTAATGTAAGAGCAGATCTGTTTGCAATCAATGCATGCAGTGTAAAGGCTAACAGTAAGAGTCTACTTGTCTGAAATAAAGCACATGTCCAATGTAAAGAGCCAATAACCTTGAAAAAAACAAACAAATAAAAAACAAAGTGTTGCTGTTGAAAAGCAGCAGCATTTCCATGCATTCAGCAGAGCATGGATCTGTTCCATTTTTAATTATTATTATTATTATTTTTCTCCTGTTGGAAAAACTCAAAGTGCAGGGACAACAGAGAAGGTTTGAACACGGTGTAATAAAACATACGAGTAGGGAGGAGAAAAATAATCAGACGTGTCAATCTATCATACATGTTAAGTTGTACAGATTGTCCGTAATTTACATGAATTTTCCATCATTCTGCAGGTATACAGACATATGGAGCAATCTCACGGACTTTTTCAAGTTTTACTATTTTTTTAAAAACTCTGTTTCAAATTAGACGTTAAAAACCATAAATAACTTTGTTTTTAACAATATGGCAGTGACTGGCAAGTGTATGGCTTGTGAATGACACTATAAAATTTATTTAAAAATCACATATTTGACGTATAGAGCTAACATTTGCAGAACATATTGTCTGACATACTGTATAACAAACTGCTACAATACTCAAAAGTTTTAAATGTTTCATTATTTTTTACAGAGAAAGAATTAGAAGAAATTAGCAACAAGTCAGTGCTACATTTTTCAATCAATCAGCAGAAAACTAGCAGGGATGTTTTCAGGTCCTCTTGAAMAACAGGATTTTTCTTCAAAAAGAATCAATTTGTATCATTTTTCTTTTAACACTATGCATTATGTATCCCTGTAAAAACCAGCCTCTTGTTCTACACTTTGCTTCATACAGAGGGTCTGGACTCTCAGCTATTGAGAAGTGATTGTTTTCTAGAGGTGTGGCCTCTGTTGAAGTTTAAAATGATTGGATCTGATTTACCCAATCGCTATCATTGTGCGTCAGCTCCACCGTGAATGAGGCTAAGCCAAGAAGCTAACTATAAATAGTGTGTGCTTCACCAGGAGAACTCCTTGTCTATGGGAGAAATACCAGAAATGTACCCCCACCCCCACCCCCCATCTTTTCAACCTTTTGCCACATTTCAGGTTTCATAAAGATATTAAATTTAATTTTTTTGTGACGAATCAACAAGTGGGACACAACCATGAAGAGGAACAAAATTTATTGGTTATTTTAAACTTTTTTAACAACTAAAAAGTGAAAAGTGGGACGTCCAATAGCAAATTGACTCCAGAAGTTCAGTGAGGATCTCTGAATGATCCAGTGTTGTCCTCAATGACTGAYGATGATAAACAGAGTCCACCTGTATGTCATCAAGTCTCTGTATAAATGCACCTGCTCTGTGATAGTCTCAGGTTCTGTTATAWGAGCAGAGACCATAATGAAGACCAAGGAACACCAGGCAGGTCCCAGATACTGTTGTGGAGAAGTTTAAAGCTGGATTTAGATCCAAAAAGATTTCCCAAGCTTTAAACATCTCAAGGAGCTCTGTGCAAGTGATCATCCTGAAATGGAAGGAGTATCAGACAAGAAACCCAAACAGGATTCCARCCAACAACCAGCTGAAAATGAAGACCCTAAACCCAGACCCAAACATGTCGTCATTCCATATGTGGGGGGAGTTTCAGAGAAACTGAGAYGTTTATTCTCTAAACATGACGTCCCAGTGGCTTTCAAACCCCAAAACACGTTACGACAAAGATTAGTTCACCCTGAAGATCCAGTTCCCCGGCAAAAACAGAGTAATATAGGGTATGCTGTTAAGTGTCTGGAGGACTGTGATCAGTTATACATTGGAGAAACAAAACAGCCACTGTTCAAAAGAATGAGCCAGCACAGACGAGCTACATCAACGGGTCAGGACTCTGCAGTTTACACTCGTCTACAGGTCAGGACTCTGCAGTTTACACTCGTCTACAGGTCAGGACTCTGCAGTTTACACTCATCTACAGATCAGGACTCTGCAGTTTACACTCATCTACAGGTCAGGACTCTGTAGAGTCCTGGCCTGTAGATGAGTGTAAACTGCAGAGTCCTGACCTGTAGACGAGTGTAAACTGCAGAGTCCTGACCTGTAGACGAGT